CACCTGCATCATATGTGGAGGCTTAACTGGCTGTGCCACAACGCAAGTACCCCGGAGACAGTTCTCGTTGTCACGACTTGGGGGAGAACGCTGCTGCTACACTCCCTGCAATGCAGGAAGAGGTCCCCCAACCCGACAAAGAAGGATTTGGTCCCAAATTATCAATGTGGAGGCCGAGAAGCCCTGAGTTAGAGTCCATTCAGGAACACAAAATGTACGTGCAGATCATCAAAATCGACCAAGTCCTCAACTAAATAAAGAAGAAGAAGAGAAAGAAGAACAGAAAGTGATCAGAGGAGCCCTGGCCCAGAGTACAGGATTCTCTGTGACACCTGGCCAGGAAGAGGGGCCTCAGTGAGCCCTGGGTTTTGTGATGACATGGACATGCTTCAGTGGGTTTCAATTTTTAGCTTCTTCTATGACACTTTTTTTTTTTTAAGCTAAATCACAGTTAACGGCTACACTTATTTCTGTGTTGCACTAGCTATGTGAACATGTATTCCAAACTAGTTTAAATATGTTTGATTGATGATACTGTTTTTTTTTTTAACACTTATTTATTTATTTGAAAGATAGAGTTACAGAGAGGCAGAGGCAGAGAGAGAGGTCTTCCATCCGCTGGTTCATTCCCCATATGGTCGCAACAGACGGAGCTGCACAAAGCCAGGAGCCAGGAGCTTCTCCCAGGTCTCCTACATGGGTGCAGGGGCCCAACATCTTGGTCCATCTTCTACTGCTTTCCCAAGTCATAGCAGACAGCTGGATTGGAAGTGGAGCAGCAGGACTTGAACTGGCGCCCATATGGGATGCCGGCACTGCAGGCGGCAGCTTTACTGGCTATACCACGGTGCCGACCCAACGTTGTTTTATTTTTTTTAATTTATTTTTTAAAAAACATTTATTTATTTGAAAGTCAGAGTTACAGAAAGAGAAGGCCCAATATTGTTTTAATGCAAACTGGAGGGTGGGCTGACTTAAAATCCTCAGCTATCTGCTTTATCAGAGGTAACAAAGATGGGAATAGTTCAGTTTTCATTTAAAATTGAATACTCTGGGGGCAGGCTTTGTACCTGGGGGGTAAGGTGCTGCCTGGGACACTGGCATCCCATATCAGAGTGCAGGTTCCCATCCCAGCTGCTCTGCTTCGGATCCAGCTGCCTGCTAATGTGCCTGGGAAGGCAGCAGATGATGGCTCAAATCCTTCAGTTTCTACCACCCACGGGGGAGAACCAGATGGAGTCCCTGGTTGCTGGCTTTGGTCTGGGCCATCCCTGGCTGTTGCAGACATTCGGGGAGTAACCAGTGGATGGAAGATCTCTCAGCTTCTCTGTAGCATGCTGCCTTCCAAAGAAATAAAGCTTTAAAATAAAAAATATAATTAAGTAGTCTGGAGGATGATATGCCCCTATGGTGGACATAATTTAAGGTCACAGTTGATTTCTGTTCTCCCCCAACCCTTTTTTTTTTTTTTTTTTTTTGAGAGGCAGAGACAGACACAGAGAGCTCCTATCCATTGGTTCACTCCCCAAATGTCTGCAGCGGCTGGGGCCGAGCCAGGCCAAAATCAGGAGTCTGGAATTCAATCCAGGTCTCCCACATGGGTGGCAGGGATCCAACCACTTGAACCATAACCTCACGCCTCTCAGGGTATACATTTGCAAGAAGCTGGGCAGGAAATTAGAGTAGCCAGGACTTGAACAAGGCCCTCAGATATGGGACGTGGGCATCCCAAGTGGCAACCAACTGCTGGACTAAACACCTGTCCCCTGCAGAACTTTTTAAACTGAGATCTCATGCCTACAGCTGAGTGCACACAATGCACTAACCTTAAGTGTATGGCTTGACGGATTTTTCACACATATGCCTACAGTCTTACAGCTTGCTTTGTTGTACTTTGCAATGTACTGTAACATTTTCCACATGATCAGGTGGTCCTGAACAGCATCTCTTTTAATGTTTAATTAGAATTATATAGTATATTTATAATTCTACATTTATAATAATCTATCACACAAATGTATTATCACTTATCTAACCAATCCACCCTTGTTAGAAATTTAGGTTTCTGATGGCCACCAACTGCCTTCGTTTTCTATGGCTGCTTTATAAGCGACCACACCTTTAGGGGCTGACGTCTCCAGTACTGTGTCCCTGTGGAGGGCTCCAGGGGAGGCTGTGGCACTCCATGGTTGGTGGCCCCACCTCCCTGCCCTCTGCTTCTGTCATCACAAGGCCTCCAACTCTCACCCTCTTGTAAGGAACTCATCATTAGACACACTCAGGTAATCCAGGACAACCCCTCATCGCAACCCCCTTAACTTAAGCATGCCTGCTAATTCCCTTCTGCCCCATAAGATAACCTATCCCCCAGGCCCAGAGATTAGCACATGGCCAACCAGGGGGATGGGGCACAGAATTCAGATTCGCCCAACTATAAACTGTCTACTCCTCTGTTTATTTCCCTACCTCTTGCTGTTCCTTCTCATTTCCCTCTTACTCTTTTTATTTATTTATTTTTATTTATTTATTTATTTTTTATTTATTTATTTTTTTTTTTTTGACAGGCAGAGTGGATAGTGAGAGAGAGAGAGAGACAGAGAGAAAGGTCTTCCTTTTGCCGTTGGTTCACCCTCCAATGGCCGCCGCGGCCGGCGCGCTGCGGCCGGCGCACCGCGCTGATCCGATGGCAGGAGCCAGGAGCCAGGTGCTTTTCCTGGTCTCCCCATGGGGTGCAGGGCCCAAGCACCTGGGCCATCCTCCACTGCACTCCCTGGCCACAGCAGAGGGCTGGCCTGGAAGAGGGGCAACCGGGACAGAATCCGGCGCCCCGACCGGGACTAGAACCCGGTGTGCTGGCGCCGCTAGGCGGAGGATTAGCCTAGTGAGCCGCGGCGCCGGCCCCCTCTTACTCTTTTTAAACAATGTTTCACTTACTTATCTGAGAGGCAGAGACATGGCAGGAAAGAGAGAGAGTTTCCAAATGGTGACTCCCTTACCAGATGCTCACAGTGACCAGGGCCGGGCTGGGCCAGGGCCGGGCTGGGAGCTGGGGACTCAATCCAGGTCTCCCTCGGGGGTGGCAGAACCCAGTTCCGCGAGCCATCACACTGCTTTCCAGGCCTGCACTAACAGGAAGCTGGAGTGGGCCTAGCAGTGATGAGCACTTCTGCAGGAGACAGCGAGGGGCTGGCCTGCGGGTACCGACGGTTTGTGTGGACACCAGAGCGGCTAACACGGCAAAGCAGAGTGGCGCTGTTCCTCAGCAACGTGAACAAAGCAGAGCCACCTGTCAGGGGCAGGAAGGCACGCTGCCCGGGCTGCTCTGCACGCTTCATCCACGTGACAAGTATCTGGGCACCTACTGTATGCCACGCCCCCTTCTAAGCAAGACAGTAAAAAAAAAGGTAACTTCAGGTAGCGAGAGGTGTTCTGAAGATAAAAGAGTCCCGGGGCCAGCGCTGTGGCACAGCGGGTTAACACCCTGGCCTGAGTGCTGACATCCCCTGTGAGCACTGGTTCGAGACCCGGCTGCTCCACTTCTGATCCAGCTCTCTGCTGTGGCCTGGGAAAGCAGTGGAAGATGGCCCAAGTCCTTAGGCCCCTGCATCCACGTGGGAGACCCAGGGGAGGCTCCTGACTCCTGGCTTTGGATAGGTGCAGCTCTGGCCATTGCGGCCAATTGGGGAGTGAACCAGCAGATGGAAGACCTCTCTCGCTCTCGCTGTACCTCTCCTTCTCTCTGTGTAACTCTGACTTTCAAATAAATAAATAAATCTTTAAAAAAACACAAAAAACAAAAAAAAAAAAAACACAGAGTCCTGTCAACAAGAGTGTCTGGGAGAAAGGGGCGGTGCTGTGGTATGTTAGCTTTAAGCCTCCGCCTGCAGTGTCGGCATCCCATATGGTGCCGGTTCGAGTCCCGGCTGCTCCATTTCTGACCCAGCTCTCTGCTATAGCCTGGGGAAGTGGTAGAATATGGCCCAAGTCCTTGGGCCCCTGCACCCACCAGAAAAAGCTCCTGGCTCCTGGCTTTGGATCAGCTCAGCCCCAGCCGTTGCAGCCATTTGGGGAGTGAACCAGCAGATGGAAGACCTCTCTCTATCTCTCTTCTGTAATTCTGCCTTTCAAATAAACAAATAAATCTTTCTTTCTTTTTTTTTTTTTTTTTGACAGGCAGAGTGGACAGTGAGAGAGAGAGACAGAGAGGAAGGTCTTCCTTTGCCGTTGGTTCACCCTCCAATGGCCGCCGCAGCCCGTGCGCTGCGGCCGGTGCACTGCACTGACCCGAAGGCAGGAGCCAGGTACTTCTCCTGGTCTCCCATGGGGTGCAGGGCACAAGCACCTGGGCCATCCTCCACTGCACTCCCGGGCCACAGCAGAGAGCTGGCCTGGAAGAGGGGCAACCGGGACAGAATCTGGTGCCCCGACCGGGACTAGAACCCGGTGTGCTGGCACCACAAGGCGGAGGATTATCCTAGTGAGCCGCGGCGCCGGCCAACAAATAAATCTTTCTAAAAAAAAAAAAAAAAAAAGAGTATCTAGGGGACAATCTTAGATTGGTGGTCAGGGAAGGCCTCTCCAGAGCAACACTGGGCGTGAGACAGGAGCCAGCCCCGAGAAGCCCAAACGCCGAGGGCCTGTGACCCACACACGAGGCTGGTCAAGGGACAGAAAGAGGGCAGCAGGCTAGACGGCGAGGGAAACAGGTGGGAGGGCAGAGAGGCATCTGAAGACAATCGGCTCCGCTCCAAGCGGTGGCGATGAAAGAGCAGTGGGTCTCAGCCACTCTCCTGGGCACGCTCTCCTTCCCAAATGCCACGGACATTCTCCTGAACGCCATGTTCACCTCCCGGCGTCCTCAGCGCTAGTGTGGTTGAGGCCCTCTGGGGTTCAGTGGGCTTAGCTCCTCCCACACCAGTGCTGTGGGCCGCTGGGGGGGGGGCTGGATAAGGTGGTTGGGGCTGTCTCGTCCCCGCTCCGATTCTCGATTCTCGGCTTACCAGACACTGGGGAGTGCTGACTGGTGCAGGCTAAGAAGCTTGGTCAGGTTCAAACAGCAGATGTGCCAGCGTAAGACTGAAATCCAGTTTTCTTCTCCTTCATTTCACAATCAGCTCGTTTTTCCCTAAGTAAAATATGTTTTGGTCATAAATGTTGCAGACATCCAGAAAGGCACAGACAGTAACATCCCCACTCACATGACCCGTACATAGCTCAAGAAATGCACCCTCCCATCCCACCACCCGGGAGACACTGCAAGTGGTGTCGCCACGCCTCTCAGTGCAAAGCGAGATCCAGGCGGCCCCAGCAACACTACCCTCTTCTTCCACCCAATCACCAAGTCCCATTAACTTTCCCTCTACCCCCTGCTTCCACACCTCTCTGGAGTACACCTCTACTCGTCCCCCTTCCCATCCGATCTCCTCCTGGCAACCACTGTCCTTAGAACCTTGCACCAGCTCCCCTTCGCTCTTAGGATACAGAACAAGCCAGGTTTCAGCTGCCCTCGCCCCCACTCAGCACTCCAGCTCAGTCCCTTGCCCCTGTTTGGGGAACACTGACCCTCTGCAGTTGTGTGTGACCCCCAAGTTCCTCCCACCCCAGAGACTCCGCACACACACATCCTCCCTCGTTCACCTCCAGAACTCTGCCCCCTTCATGGGGACCTTCCTTGGCCAGTGTCACTTTTACAACTTTACATGTTTGTGGGATTAATTGATTAACGTTAATTTTCCCTAACAGGCCAAGGACCTGGAGCCAGTACTTCACAGAAAATAAAAGCTGGATAGTAACCAGTGCCCGTGTTAATACATTCATGTGAGCTCACTGTGGACCTTCCCCAACCCTAAGAAGTAGGTACACCTATCAGCTCCATTTTACATACAAGGAAAGGGAGTCACACAAGCTAAGAAGGACGGAGCTGGGCTGTGCACTCAACATTCAGCCCGTGGTGCCTTCCTAGCACTTCTAGAAGGCACTAGGGGCGGAGTACTCCAGATAGGGTCTAATCAGCACCAGGAGTGGCCTCTGCTCACTTCAACATCACGTCGCCTGAGTCTGAGCAAGGGTCTCATGCTTGGCACTGTTGCGAGAAGTTCCGATCTTCCCAGCATTTTATTCCAGCTACTCTGCAACTCATTGGCCTCACGGGTAGTACAATGACTGAGGGTGAGATGGAAGCGGTGGCCCAGCAAGCTGCCGGAGGGCGGGCCAGTGCTAGCTGGGGTGAACCGACCTGCACCGTCTGGACCGTGAGCCATCCACAGGCCCCGGTTTCCATGGCTGTCCCTCACTCAACCTTCACTGACTCCTCCCAGAGTTCCACACCTGGGGCAGTTGTGCCACGGTGAGAAGATGCGGTGAGAAGATGCGGCAGAGGCTGGGGTTAGTTAGGGCTCAGCTCCGGGGAGTCAGCAGTCACGGGGGGAGAGGGGGCTGGGGAGTGGCCTCAGAGCCGCGAAGATGGTTCCAGCGGAGCCAGGCGTAGTTGGCTAAGCTTCCCCAGTTCTCCCGAAGGACTTCCTCCGAGGTTTCCCGAGGGTGGCAGGTGGAGCGCGATTATTTCACAAGCTCAGGATATACAACGGAGCTGAAGCCAGTTACATCCAACCCATCCTAGATCCATACGCTGAAAATTTACGCTTAGGAAATCAACCTGGAGCCCACCTGCCAATACTGGAGAAGCCAAGAAACCCGACACACATGTTCTCTATGTGCATTTTCCTACCAAGGGGGTGGGGGGGAGGGCTTGAGTTTTTCCCAGGACTCTGAACTTTCCAAGGCCAAGAACCGCGGAGCTTTTGGCCTATGCACATTCTTTGACTCGAGGATGTGCGTGTACAAGGGTACCCTGCAGGGTGAACGAAACACTTCTACTTCAAGTACCCGGTAGCTATGGACAGGGATCTAACGGGAGTCTCTTAGCCCTTCCCTAAGTCAGACTTCAGAACAGGTCTCAAACCCTACGAATGGCCTAAGGGGACTCCTGGAGCGGGGAGGCAAGACGCCTGTAGGGTCAAGGGCAGCCCAGAGTCCCCGAGGACAGCCCTGACCAAGCCGCTAGCCGGCTGCTGCGACTTTGGACAAGTCCCATCCCCTCTGGGTTTACTTTCCACATCTGCACATTGGAAGTTGGACCACATGGTCTTCAAGGTCTTCCCCAGCCGAGAGTCTGGCAACAAGTGGAGTTAGCTCGTCGCCCAAGCAGCTTCCTGTGGGCGCGGTGCCGGACTTTAACGGTCTCCCCCTCCCCCGCTCAGGCCCGCCAAGCCCTCCCTCCCCACGCCCCTCCGAGGGCCTGCGCCTCCCCAACCGCAGCCCGGGCTGCAGGGGCCCAGCCCCGCCCCTTCCCGGGGGCGTCCCAGCGTGCCTCGCGTCGGGGCTCCTACAGCGGCCAGGCGCCTCCCGCCTTTCGGCGCCCCGACCCCGAACTCCTCTCCCGGGCGCCCTATCCTATCAACGTCTAGCACCCCAGCCAATCGCGCGGGCCGCGGGTCTCGCTTTGAGCCCACCCTCCTCCCAGCGCCCAGCCGGTCTGAGCTCAAGGCCTTTACCACGGCGACCCAATCAGTGGCTTGCTCCCGCCTGCCCCACCCCAACTTCCCTCCCCCAGGCCAATCCGCGAGCCGCATTCTCCTGCCCGCCCAGCCAACCCGGGCCTTCAAACTAGCGGGCGAATGGACGCACGGCGGCCCTTCAACGCTGACCGCCTGGCCAATTGGGGATTCCGCGTGGCCAAGGCGGCAGCCAATCGCCGCGGAGCGCGGTGCCGCCGCGGAGAGGTCCGGCCCGAATATCCCTCCGCCTTCCTCCCTCCCTCTCTCTCCCTCCCTGCGCGCCGCCCGTTCACTGACTGCCTCCCTTCCTTCTTTCTCCCTCCGCCACCCGAGCACCAGCCGCGCTCTGAGCTGCCCGTGGGGTCCCTCCCCCGCCGCCAGAGGAGCAGCTGCCGCGCCGCCAGCAGCATTTTAGGAGGGAGGAAGGAAGGAAACGGGAGGAAGGGGAGCCGGAGGGACGACTCTCAGCGAGCCGGTGAATGGGCGTGTGGTGACCCCCGCCCCCCACCCCACCCTCCCTTCCCACCCGACCCCCAACCCCCATCCCCAGTCGGAGCCGCCGCCCGAGAGGCCGGACCGTCGTCTTCGGAGGAGCAGCCGCCGCCGCCACCTCCGCCATGGAGCTGATCACCATCCTCGAGAAGACCGTGTCTCCCGGTAGGACTCGGGGGCCGGGGTCGCGCTGAGGTGAGTTGGGGTGGGGGAGGGGGGAGCCCCGGCCCCTCTGACCCCGCTCCCGTCCCCACTCTCCTCCCCCCAGATCGGCTGGAACTGGAAGCGGCGCAGAAGTTCCTGGAGCGTGCGGCCGTGGAGAACCTGGTGCGTGCCGCCCCGCCGCGCCCCAGCCCGCCGCGTCCCCGTTCCCTGCGTGCGGGGCCTTCCCGCCCTCCCGGAGGCCCAGGCCTCGGGAACCTACCCCGCCCCATCCCGTCCCCCTCCCCCCGCCCCGTCCCCCTCTCCTCCGCGCCCCCCCCGCGCCCGGTCCAACCTAACCCCGCCGTCGGGAAGCCGGTGGGTGTGTCCCGCCCCGGGCCGCGCGGCCGGCCAATGGCGCGGCGCGCCGGGGTGACTGCCGCCCAATCGCCGCGCGGCCTGAGGGCGGCGGTGCAGCGGGAGGGAGAAAGAGCGAGGGGAGGGAAGTTAGGTTGCGCGGCGCTGCGTGTTCAGCAAGGGTGGGGGTTGGGGAGCCGGGCCTAGGGGCCATGTGGAAGCTCGGAGGCCGGCTGCCCGCCCTGCTCTGGCCCAGCCGGCTTCTCCTTCCTGTCCCGGGGGCCCTGCGGCTCTCCCCACTTCTTCCCAGAGCGTTTGCTTTGCTCTGTGCTCCTGGCCAGGCCTGCACCCCCGGCTGCCTCTGAACCCTTCCCATTGGTATTTCTCTCCCTTTCCTGCCTAGTTGGCCCTCTCTTGGGGCTTTTGTGGAGGTCTCCCCGTTTTTCCTGGCCCCGATGACTAGAGACCTCATCGTTAGGGACCTGCGCCCAGGCGACATACTGAGGCTTGTCCTGGAGATCGGGCCTATTTTTAATGAAATAGAGGAAAGTCCTCATTTCTCATTTCCGAAGTCAGGGGGTGCAGGGAAAATGAAGATAGCTCCGCCGGAGGCTGGAGCTCCCTACAAAAATGCAGGATTGATTGGTTGGAACGGTCTGGTGCAGCTTGTTTCCTTCTGCTCCTGCTGGGGGATGGGGAGAAGAGGGAGCGGTGGATGATACTGGACATCTTTTAAAGGTGCGAGGTAGTGAGGGCTAAATAACGCTGTAACCAAACGTGTCCTCTGGGGAAGGCACGTCAGCAACAACAAAGTGACAAGGCTTATTTTCTACAAGCTGCGTTTGGCTGTTCTTGTCCTTCCACGTGCCAGTTTTACACCTCTTTTATCTTGAACTTGCCCTACAAAAGATTTTTCCCCTGGTGTAGACCAGTCATTCCATTCAGGGTGTATTCCTGTGTGTGGGTTTGCTGACTTGCAAGCAGCTTTTTCTCTTATTCCTGACATTCTTCAGTGGTGCGTAATTAACACAACTTTTGAAGAATTCTCTCTTGCTGTGATTGCGGCACTTGCCCGTGGTAAGAAAGTGTACTGCGTTTGGCTTTTCCTGTTGTTTGGATGAGGCTTTTTTTTTTCTTTTTTCTTTTTTTGGTATGGGATAGAATTGTGAAGCAAGTAGCTTGGAACCTGTGGGTTAGAAGATTGTGCTTTTTAGGGATCCACTGTGTTCAGTAGACAGCTCGAGTCTAAGGAGCCCTTGGTGTATTGACTGTTGAGTTAAGCATAGTCATTTTCCTTAAATGACTTGCCTGGACATTTTTGTCTGTTTGGTTTTTTCCTGTTTCTAAGTATCTACTACTTTCCCTTATCGATTGGCTTTTTTCTTTGGTCTCCCTCTGCTGAACACCCCGCAAGTAAAATACAGAGGATTAGGTACCCAAGTCTGCTTCAGGCTTAAGTATTCCATTTTTTATAAGAGATTAACTGCTCCCAGGGGCTCAAACCATCATTCTTTTTGGACTAAGCTTTTTGAAATTCAGAGAAGCAATTTTAATTTCTACCCGTCATAACATTTATTCATTCAACAAATATTTATTGAGTATCAGAGGTGGTTCTGGGTGCTTGGAACGCTTCAGCACACATGAAGAATGTGCTTGTCAGATTTGCTTAAATTCTGGCGATCTGTTAGGGAGATTGGGGCACTGAGGATGATCTTGATAGGAAAATAATGTATCTCCTAAGTAAGTGCTTGGCTACATGCGAAGACGGGTGGCCTCCTTGTATATCAAATAACTTTTATGGGGATCTTGAAGTAGATGGTTTAGAGTTCCTGGTATGTCCCAAAAGTGTGTGCTTCCTGCATCCACCCATGATTTGGGTGCTTGATGAACTTCAGTTATTGAAATCCCAAGAGATTTTCATTGGCCAATGCATGTTCTCTTAACAGCCCACTTTCCTTGTGGAACTGTCCAGAGTGCTAGCAAATCCAGGAAACAGTCAGGTTGCCAGAGTTGCAGCTGGTCTACAAATCAAGAACTCTTTGACATCTAAAGACCCAGACATCAAGGCGCAGTACCAGCAGAGATGGCTCGCCATCGATGCCAATGCCCGACGGGAAGTCAAGAACTATGTAAGTAACGCTCCCTCCTTGTAGTCATGTTGCACAGAACACATCTTTGTCAGTTTTGTTATTTGCATGGGATAGAGCATGAGATTGTGATAGGTTTCTTTCTGGTACCTAAACTTCACTTGAAAGCTGTAGTTGATTTAAAATTCTTTCTCAACTCAGCTTGTCAAGATGGACTGGAATTCTTTTCAGATGACTGAGGTAGGCGGCAGCAGTTTGGGAAACTTAAATTAGGGACCAGAATTTGTAGCTAACCGCCGATGAACTGGAGTAATGAACACGTTGGTGCTGGGTATCAGGACCGCTCTGGGAGTTTGTTAATCCGTGCGTCCCAAGATCTCCAGACTTTGATTCAGCAAAGCGGAAGTGAAGCTAAGGGTTATTTTCCAAGCTGAATCCCAAGTGATTGCCTGCTGCCGTCCACCAGCACCTTTGTCTTGCTGAACTTCTGTAGGAAATTCTCAGCGTTTGGCAGCTTAGTCCTGGCACTGTGTGAAGTCAGAGGAGAATTCATGATCTCTAGGGTCTTTCAGGCCCAAAGATTCTGAAAAAGGAATGTGGCGTTGATGGTGCTTTTATCTACTTGGCACATTGTAAAAAACTTCCTTTAGGAACACTAGTTTTTTGTTCAGGGCATGGGCAGAATGAGGTGATAAAGTTTGAGGAAGATCGAATGTCTTGTTGCTTTGCATCATGGAGATCCAATGACTTCCTATTTTTGTTTTTTAAACATTTTTAATTAACACATGGTAATGGTGCATGATTCTGGAACACAATACGGTGTTGCAGTCTCTGGAGTGTGTACAGTGTGTGTGATCAGACATCTCCTGCCCACCCCACGTCCCAGCATTGCAGCGCCTCCCCTCCAGCCGTCCAGGCCTGTTTACAGGTCGTGGTGAACCTAGTTCCTCCATTGTGTTGCAGAGCGCTCGGAATTACCGCTTCCATCCACCTGCATTGGTCTGCTTTCTCCCTCCTGGGCTGCAGCTTCAGTCAGACTTGGTTCATACCCATTCAGCCTCAGACATTTGCGACCGTTCACCTTGTTTTTTTCTCCCTTCCTACTTTATGTATTTGACATAGCACTGTTGTTAAAGGTCCAGTCTAGCTGTGTTAGAGAAGAAAACCTTCATGTGGACTCAGTCAGCTGTTACGGGGTCTAGCTGCTGGGGTGGGGTTGGCAGAGATGTTGGCAAACCAGAGAAGGGGGACCACCTTGGGGGTTGGGGTTCAGTGTTAGTTACTAGCTACAAAGCTGGGTACTAAGTGACCTGCCCCAGTCAACAGAGCTGGCCTGGATCTCTGGCAGCTATTCTTTGCCCTGTGCTCATGCCAGGAACAGTTAACTGTTTGCCTTTGAGTGAACTGGTGATTCTTAGTGAGTTCATTGACTGAATTAGCTGATTGTGGCAATGATTAACCCTGGGTCGATCACAGCTCCATCCTTCAGCTGTACTTGTGCCTTCACACTTGACATAGATGCCTGTGTGGTGACCATTTGAAGCAAGACATGTTCCAGGAAGAGTGGACCTTGTTTTAATTGGCCTATCTGATTCTTGGTGTCTGTTGATGAGAACAGGTTTCTGATTTTTGGGCAAACAGAATGAATCCTTTCAGATGGGAAGTTAAGCAGGGGTTCCTTCTTAGGTTTGGACATATCAGTAACTTAGTTTCTCCATTTAG